TAATTTCGGTTTTTCTAGATAAGAAGAGTAATTAAGCTTCAATCAATCCCCTCAGATACCATTGTTAGTGCGACTTTTATTTAGTATGAAGAAGGGATTCCAAGGTCGATCTCACCGGAAGACAACGGAAAATTCCCCTTAGGCTGCAATAGTTTGGCCTTACTACGACGCTCCACGAGACATCCTCCCTCATTTCGGATCAAAACGGGCTGAGCCTTTATCCATCGTATGATCGACCACACCAGAGCTGGAATTCATACTTAAAAAAGTCTCAAGTCAGCAAATACCAAGTCAAGAAGACTATTCATAACTAAAAAACGCAAATGTGAACGGTCACTTGGGCTGGAGTTATGCGATAATTATGCCGATTTCTAAGACTTGCCAGAAGACTTGCAGTCGCTAGCATTTTCCGCCGAGCATACGTTATTCGACGATAGAGACGTCTCTCCTCTTCTTCACTGCTCGACAGACAGACGCTTGCTGCACTCACAATACACGACTGTCTGAACTTGGCATGCTAGAACGATTAAGCGAATCATGTTGAAAAATGTCCAGATTCTGACCACTCGTTGTGACGTTAACGCTTCTTGTTTATCAGCCTCAATTAAGCATGACCAGACTTAATGAAGACAAGAGAAATAAGTCACCTTAACCGCTTCATATCTCAAAAGGTAGTATGTCTGTGGACGCACGCAACGAAATTTTCCCGAACTGGGAAAATCGCCGCATAATTCCCATAAACGCAGTGCTTCCGTGGCATGACAGCCGGTCTCCGCGGCCCACCTCCGCCCCGAAACAAGAGAGTTTGTCAGTCATGGACAACGGTTTGCGGAAGCCGAGGCAGAGGACGTCAGTTGGCCGTCGCTTAGTCCACGATTGGGCCTAGAAACTGGGCGGTTCCGCTGGAAACGATATGGGCGTTATGCGACCAATCGCCGCGTTTTGGGTGTATCCTGCCGACCGCCTGATGTATCAAACTGGGCAAAGAGAGCGAGAGAGCTTCCACCCACCCGATCATCGAGAGGCTGGCCCGAAGGACAAACTACCGACGATATCGGCCGGCAGATCGGAGGTTGTGGGACGAGGTGCAAGCCCCCGGTGCATCAAAAGACACAATGTCGTAAAAGACGAAATCACCCGATGTGAAGTATCTGGCGACGAACATTGGCATATAATCAAAAGTAGCATGTCAGGCAATAGGGCTAATTAAAAAAGGTTGTAACGTTTTTGCTGGTTAAGAAATTAATCTTCGCATACTGATTAGCATCAAGGGTCCAGCAAAAAAACTGGGTTGTCACTTAGTTCCTGTAATGAAGGAAGTCAGTTTGAGCAAACTTCCGGCATTTTTACAAGTCGCAGATCTCCGCCGGAGATAGGCTTGATGGTTGGACTTCTGCTAAAACCGAGGGCAATTCTGCCAGTGGAACAGCGTCTTCCTCGACCAATCAGCGAGTGCGGCAATATACACTCTCCCACGAACTTTGTCGCCAATCAACGCGCTCCGGACGATACAGCTTGGCGATTAGCTGGTGACATGATACACATCCGTCAGAGAAATGATCATTTCGCGATGAGTAAAACAAGCAGGCTTCTTGATTCTTGGAAGGAGTATCCGGAGCCAGCTTTGTTCCAGTTAATGATTTTGAATCAGGCCTATATTCAAGTCCGGCTTCCTTTTTATGTGTAGGTACAGGTATGAAACGGGATCCACAACCAAGTCAAAGTTGTGATAGGGGAGATTATTGTAGTCTAGTTCAAGTTCCGGTACAGTTATACGTCGAAGTCCAGTTTCATGTTAAACATCATCTGTTAGTCCAGACTTAAGTTTTGGCCATGACGTGGTGAATCTTCATAAGTATGTCTAGGTACAGATCAACGTATGGTTGAAACTCAAGCTTTAAGTTATTAATAGCTTCAAATCCAGTTTCATGTCAGGCCACAGATCAATTTCCAAGCCTTTATCTGAAAATAGATCGAGGTTAATGTCTAGTACCGAGCCTAGTACTATGTTCAGGTAAAATGTCATGTCTTGCACTTGGTCATTTTAGTCATCCACGTGTAGGCAAATGTCATTGGGAATATTCACGACTATGTCTAGGTCTAGAGTAACGTTTAGTCTTAAGAAAAAGGTGTAATTTTGAATTTTGGTCTAGTTCAAGTTGTTGATCGGGATCTTGGTCAAGATCTGGTCACACCTCAGACCGCTGTCTGGTACTGGCCCAATTCCATGTTTGTTTATGAAATTGGGCAAAGTCCAGCGCCAAGTCTAGCACTAGGTTCAAGTAGAGGTCCGGTTTAGATCGTGGTTTAGACCCAGCTCCGCAACCATGGCCCAATTCAGGTCTACAATGCAAATCTCTCCATTGGATGCAGGACAAGTAGCCACACTTTTCGACGAGATAAGGCCGTCTTTGCTCACATCACTCAATGTATGACTCATCCTGGATTTCCAATCCAAACTCAAATTGTCCAGAGTCAGCTTTAGATCTCCCGGCGATCAGTGATTCGGATCATGATGATGTGGCCACATAGGCTGGTTTGGCCAGAAATCTCAAACATGCTCGGCTGAATTAGCCATTTTGATACCTTTGAACATGGCATTTAGTACCTGAAGAAGCTGAATTTTCACTTCTGCAGGATATTTTTAATGCCCACGACTTTGTGATGTAAAGAAAATAGGCGAGGATAAGAGTGTTGACAGTGGTGAGCTTGAATAGATTACCCGCATTTATCGGGGAACAGAGTGCTCAAAAATATCTTCTGAGTCCCGATTCAGCGACTGGAAATCTATTTTGTTCTATTAAAACTACGAGGCATCTTCCAGGTTGGTTTTCATGAAGCCGTGAGGGTCATAAAGTGTAAGAAGACCAGATTGGTCGAAAACTTTTGTGAATATCGCTATTACATGCGATCGCTTTATAGCCTTCCATTTGAAGCTGATTGTCGGAATTCTGAAAGTAATTCTACATTTTAATACTTCCCTCAATTCACATCATATTACGGATACTCTGGCCCCCATAGACAACCGTGTGTCTGTCCCTTAACGAGACATACTACTGACTGTATGTTTGGTAAAAGCTTTTTTCTACAACTAGCATGAATCTGACGTCGAAGAGGCTCCTGATCGTTGTAAACAACCAGATCATATTTGTACTTTAACATAAAGGAAAAAGTGTTTTTCTCCTTTCTCCAACTTAAAAGCGGGTCGAAAAGGCTCTAAAGAAAGGAGCATTCTTTGAGTTTGTCAATAGCACAGAAAGTCGGTCTTGGCAAGTTACCTGGTTTGACAAACCCGTCGAGTGGAGTCATTTATAATATAATGTTTTGCGACGACGCCAAATTGGCTATTTCAGAGTACATCCATTCACATGTTTGAGGCCTTTGGCAGATGGCCAAGCAGACAGGCGGCTTGTGCCTCTCCAGAAAGGATCGACTCAAGGCACGGCCTGTTGATTCCGTTAGGCTGGAACCTGATAGGCAATTCCCAAGTT